AAAGAGAATAAAATCATGGCATTTGCAGGTAAATGGATGGCGTGGGAGAAGATAATGCTAAGTGAAGTTAGCCAATCCAAAAAAAAACAAATGCCAAATGTTTTCTCTGATATAAGAAGGATGACTCATAGTGGGGTAGGGAGGGGGAGCATGGGAGGATTAGATGAATTCTAGATAGGGAAGAGGGGTGGGATGGAAAGGGAGGGGGCAGGGGATTAGGAAGGGTGGTGGAATGTGATGGACATCAGTATCCAAAGTACATGTATGAAGACTCGATTTGGGTGTCAACATACTTTATATACAGAGATATGAAAAAATGTGGTATATATGTGTAATAAAAATTGTAATGCAAAAAAAAGTACATGTGTAAAGGCAAAAAAAAAAAAATCAAAACCCATATTTTCCCCTATCAGTGAAGTCTCTGTGTGTGCTTCTTAGAGAAATCTAAATAAGAAAACTAATAGACTTAACTTCTGACTTTTCAGAAAATAAAAATTTTTGTCCAGAGAYACCTTATAAACTATAATTTGGGCAAGTGTAAAAATAAAGTGGGTAGGGCTGATATTGTGGCTCAGTGTTAAAGCGCTTGCCTAGCATGTGTGAGGCATTGAGTTCAATCCCTAGCACCACATAAAAAATACTAAATAAAGGTATTATGTTCATTTACAACTAAAAAAATAAAATAAAAAAATGAAGTGGGTAAAAAATGTACTATAACTAATGTAAGATGTAAGTAAAAGGGGAAACTGAATGTGGGCTACATGGGCACTATTTTCTCAAATTTCTGTAAATACAACACTGTTCTAAAAATTAAAAAAAAAGTCTACTAATAAAACATGAATAAATAAACATGAGGATTTTTGTGTTACTGAAAATCACCAGAGGGAAACATAAGTGTATTTTAATTTTAATTCTTCTATTTAAGGATCTTAAAAATAGCTACTGTGAAGGTATTTTCATATTTCACATTTGGTATATATTACACTTTCTATTTGTACATTTATAACTTTAAAGGTTATTTCTCTAATATTTGGTTGTGTTGTTCATTTCTGAAGTTAAATTACTACTCTGTGAAGTTGTGTCTCAGATGCATTATAATTTCTGCTTAAGATAGCAAAAGAAACTAATTAGGGCACCTGTACTTTCCATATTGTCTTCATTGAAATTCTATTTAACATATACTAAATATCAGTGTCAGGAATTCTAATACATTTGTAGCAGAATTACCTAACAAAAAAGTATAACATTGGTTTACATTAATTTTTTCATGGGCCCATTTATTATATTCACTTTTCATTTGTACAAAATCATGAAGTACATGTACAATATATTTATAAAATGGGGTTTAAAAATTATTTTAATTTTAAAGAGACCTGAAAATCAAATTCAAGTAATTTAATTAAGTCATTTAAACATTCCATCAGTGGCCAATATTAAAAATTTCCTGTTATATACACATAGTCTACCCATATCAAATCTTCAAATCTGTATTTTCCTACAAAACTTCAGCAAACCACATAATCACCAACCCCAATTTATCAGGCACTTGGTGTCTAGTATCTGCTATAGGATAGAGGTATATTAAGAATTATTCAATATTTGGTCTAATGGTCTAAATATGGCATGACGACAAGCTAGGCTAAAAATTTCACAGGGACTGCATAGTGTAGGGCCTCATAATTCAATGACTCTTGAAATCCATGTTATCGTATTTCGAAAGAATCATTAATGCTAAAATGATTCCAATAAGCTGACAGATTTTATTTGTACTTTCACTTAAATAGCAATTTTTCAAAATCATAATACTGTTGATGATGTTAATATATATGAATCCTTTGTTTGTACAGGGTAATCCTTTTCCTCTTCTCAGTGGTACGCTGTGCTAATATACCAATTTTTCTTTTATTGTTCATTAATGAGACAGTAATTGCCATCAGAATCCTACTGAGAACATAGGCTTTTCAATATGAGGCCAAAGGATAGTTTTTGTTGTATTTATAATGATTTTCAGATACATTTTGCTCTGTATGAAATACTACCACCAAAATATTTTCTTTTTTTGAAAGATTATAGGTATTCTGAACGTGAATATGGTAAGCAAATTCCATAGAAAACAAAAGATATATTGCACATTATTTAGAAATACATAAATAGTAGAGACAAATGTTAAGTGGGCAGATCTCAGTTTCTCTTTTTACTAACGACATGGAAGAGCAACTAACAGAATACTCCTTTTTATCCAAATCCTCTAAACCTATGAAAGGGACTATTTTTAAAGAGTTCAGTGTCTGAATGAGAAGCATAACTGTAGTCTTAGTATGAGCTGCAAGGTACTACAGTGTAAAAAATACACAGTCAGCTTCAAATATTGATGATACATGAAGGACATTTATAGAAAGATTTTATTGTATTGTTGGTTGATACCACTACCTTCAGAGTTTTTATGGTATAAAGATTTCCAGAGCTGGGTGCAGTGGCGCACATCTGTAATCCTAACAGTTCAGGAGGCTGAGGCAGGAGGTTCGTGAGTTCAAAGCCAGCCTCAGCAACAGTGAGGCACTAAGCAACTCAGTGAGACACTATCTCTAAAATACTAAAAAGGGCTKGGGATGTGGCTCAGTGGTTGAATACCCCTGAGTCCAATCCCTGGTAGCCAAAAAGAAAAAAAAATATATTTCTAGAAATACATTTTAAATAATATTKTCTGTCCTTTAAGACCTCACATACTCTACTGCTCTACCATTTAAGAGAGAAATTAACAAAACCTGCAGTCTCTTATTCTTAGACTACACTCTGCACTGTAGCCCTATCATATGTATAGGGAGAAAAGTACCTTTCATGATGTCCTAAATCGGAAAGAAATTCATCTGCATGTCTTTGGAGTTCATTTCCTTCTAAACTTTTTAATTTCTTTAATTCACTCTGTAGAAAAAACCAGAGTTCTTTAGCTCCATTTTCAATTCTCCTTCTTAGTATTTCATGATCTTTTCCTAGACCTGCAGTCAAAGAATAAGAGGAATATCAGAATTTCCAAGATTTTGATAAAATTTTGATATTTTCAATTATTTGTACTAAAGCCAATGTACTGAGTGAGGGAATCACTTATTACTTACCATTTCTGGTCTGTTTCTTATAATTTTCAATCTGTTCTTTGGCTTTAGCAAGCTGCTCTTCTAAAATATGTACCCTTCCTGTGGCTGGTCCCTGATCAATCGGGCCTTCTGGTATCCTATAGTTCAGGAAAGAAAATGTAAACATTTAGCTTTTAAATTATGTAACAAAATACATGCTAAAACATGTTTACTGGTAACTCTGCAAGTCTTTAAACATACCACAAAAAGGTACCAAATGAAAATTTCTCTTTAAAGGCATACAATTAACCACAAAAGTGGCATGAGAATGAGGAAGACCAGAAAATAATAATCTAGCTCATAGATCTGTGATCTTGGAGGAGTTAAGAAACTGCAGAGATATTTTGGAAAGACTTTCATACTATTATTTAGAGTGCCATCATCAGTGGCTAAGTGGTTAATAACAAAAGAGAGTGAAGTAAAGGCTTTAAGAGAATAAGGAAGCATATATATGAATTTTGTKTCTATGGTCATATTCAAATATCAAATGCAAAGTAATTCTAAATAATCTGTGTATCAGGCCATGTACATATATATTTCAATTCATGAATTCAAGATTTAGATTACAAAACATTGGGGTTTTTAAAAATATTTTTTTATTTTTTTGGTTGTAGATGAACACAATATCTTTACTTTTATTTAATTATTTTATGTGATACTGAGGATGGAACCCAGGGCCTCAGGCATGTGAGGCAAGCGCTGTTCTATTCTTGTCTTTCACTTTCAACTCACTTTCAACTACAGCCCCCAAACATTGGTTTTATAAGGAAGTGAAAGACAAGGATAGAAGATGAAATATATTAGGAAAAACTAAAGTTTAATGTCCTATTGTTGCTTCCATCTACAACAAAAAATACTGGTCAATAATATAAAATGTTGGAACATGGTAGAACAACTACAAGATCTTTTATCAACCTATCTCCACTTTTTTTTTTAAACAAAGCATGCCTATTTCTAACATGTTTTGCTTTTTTATCTTTTGGCAAGATTTTATACTCCATTTTGGCATAAATAAGCAAGTAAAAACAATGGTCTCCAAAAGATATCTGTAGCTTAATCTCTAAAACCTGTGAATGTTACCTTATATGGAATAAGAAACTTTGAATAAATGACTAAGGATCCYGAGTCAGAAGACTGCCCCATGGGGGCTACAAAGTAATGGCAAGTGTCCATATATGAATGAAGTACAGAAAAATATTACTATAAAATAGAAAAAGATCATGTGACTGCTAGCTTTGAAGATAGAGAAAGGACCATGAGCAAAGAATACAATGAATGGCAGGTGCCATGCACCCCTGTAATCCCAGCAACTTGGGAGGCTGAGGCAGGAGGGTCACAAGTTTACCTCACCAATTTAGGGAGAAACTGTCTCAAAATAAAAAGGGCTGGGGATGCAGCTCAGCAGTAGAGTGCCTCTAGGTTGAATTCCCAGAGATACAGACACACAGAGAAATTCAAAGAATGCATTCTTAGAAGCTAGAAAAGGTAAGGAAACATTCTTTCCTATAGCTTCCCTAGGAAATGCAGTCCTCTTGACACCTTCACACTCAGTGAAACTCATTTCAGATGTCTASCTTCCAAAACTGTTTAGAGAATAAATTTCTGTTGCTTTAAGCTGTTGTAAAAAATACAGCCGATTTTTAACTCAACGTCTAATTAAATGAGTAAATGTCTATAAAAAGTATCCATAGTGTCTAGCAATAAATTTCATGAAGGCTACTGTTATGATGGGTTATAATATCAAAAAAATCTGGGACATCTAATTCTTACCATCAAAATTTGTTTAAGGGAACTTGATTTTTAAATTTAGTCAGCAGAACTTAAATGCAGATGTCAGTCCTTTGATGTGAAGAATATGATGATTTTCTTAGAGCTTTTCTAACATTTAAGTATCATGGGAGCCAAATTAACTTTTAATTACCTATGCTACTTCAGAATACATGTTTAGTAAAGAGGCTATTGTTATAGTTATACCAGAGAATGATAATTACCTGTGAAATTGTATGTATTAACTCTGAACAGGGGCATTAAAAATAACCATCCTCCAATCAGAGTGTCTGAAGTTACAAAATGTGAATGAAAACCCTTCATTTGTATATAAAATTAGGAGCACAATTATCCAAATATAAGCGCRCGCACACACACACAYAYATATATATATATATATTCACACATGTATATGCACATTCAGTATGTACTGATATACAGTTTTTAAAACAAATGGTTTTTTTAAAAACTTGACTTTTTATTTTTCAGAATTAAGATAGCTAGTTTTTAGGAAAACAATCTAAAAATAAAATGTCCACCCTTTTAGGATTTATTGCGGTAACAACAGAACATATACAGGGATTTTTTTTTTTTTTGAATGATTTAGTGATAGAAAACTCAGACAATAAAAAGAGCATGTCTATATTCTTTTTATTTCTTCAAATATTTATGGAATAATATCAGGGGCAAAACAGGCTTGAAAAAAATCACAAATGAGGGCTGGGGTTGTGGTTCAGCAGTAGCACACTTGCCTGGCATGTGTGAGGCACTGGGTTCGATTCTCAGCACTACATATAAATAAATAAAATACAGATCTATCATCAACTAAAAAAAAATCTTATAAAAATAGTATATGATCTTTTCCATATATATTCATCAAGTATTAAACTCAATCTAATTCTAACAAAACATAATGAAACTAGTGATTTACATTGCATTATTATATATAATAATCTAATCCAACTATGTATAAAGTATAGATAAAGATTAGTACTTGGGAAATCAATTAAAAAAAACACATGAATATCTTTATTTCTAAATCCCATCCATAGAAGAGTCAACCTGTATGAATAGTCTCTTTTCTGAATACTCAGGAAATTAGATGTTTTCTTATCATATTCACTCTGCAGAAGATATACAGGACTTCCATTTCTGGCCAATGTGCAGGAAAAGCACTCAGATTTACCATCCCACCTGAAATTAYTCAAAATCCAGCAAAATTTAAAAAACAGTGAAATGATAAAATTCAATAAGGCAACAAAATGCAGTGATGGGGCAGGGGTCAATAAATGAGGAGAGCCCTTCAGCTGCCCCAGCTTACTTAAGAGAATATGTACAAAATAGTGCAGACGAGAGAAAATCCAGGCGGGGTCTAGTAAATTCCCTTTGAAGAATATAACTAAAAGTGTAAGGAGCAAAACAAACAGAATTCAGATAACAGACCATTACAGAGAAGAGGGCTGGACAGAAACAGAGTACTAAAGAGAACTACAGAGGTAATACTTGATGATCAGCAGATACTTCTACCTATGACATAGAATGGAAGATTTCATAAATCACAAGGCATTGATTAGAATGCTTAGAAGAATTTGGCCCCAGTAGTTGGGAAATCAGCCCTACACTAAACACTGATTAAGTCCTGAATAACAATTCTTAAAACCAAAACCCAAAAGGATCAAACTATTTTCAAGAAATTTAATTAAATCCTTAAAGAACGTGTAAGAATATTTTTAAGAACAAAAGTTTCTAGTAACAAACAAGGTAAAATTCATGATGTCTAGAATCCAACCCAAATTTGTAAGATTTGTAAAGAAATAGGAAAAGACAACCAATAAAGATGAGAAAATTAATCAATCAATAAGTATAAACTCAAAACTGGCATGTTAAAATCAGCATATAAAAGCAGTTATTATGACTGTATTTTTACATGTTCAAATGATAGAGACATAGGGCTTGGGATGTAGGTCAGAGCTTGCCTGGCATGTATGAGGCCCTGGGTTCCCCCCCACAGTAGGACATTAAAGGGAAAGTGGTGTAACACAAAAGAGGCAAAAAATAGCATTTACTACAGATTTCCTGTTAGAACTTCTACCTTAAGAAACTAAGAAAAAAATAGCAAATTAAATCCTAATGAAGCTGAAGAGAAATGACAAAGATAAGAGAAAAGAATCAATTAAATGGAAATAAGAAAAAGAATTGAGAAAAGTCAACGAAACTAAGCTAAGAGAACTGGTTCTTCAGGAAAAATCAATAAAATCGACAAACTTTTCTGGGCCAAGTAGCAAATAATTTAGGTTTTATAGGCCAACAGATAAAATCATGCCTATTACATAGGTAAATATCTAATATTTTAAATGCAACCATTGTGAACCATAAGAAATAAGGTGTCTGGTAGGATTTGGGCCTACTGAATCAACTACAGTTTACTGACTCCTGTTCTAATCAGACTGATGAGGAAACATGGAGGGAATACTTCCCAACTCATTCTATGAAGTCAGTATTATTCTGATATCAAAACCAGAGGAAAAATATCACATGAAAAGAAAGTTAAAGTCTAATATCCCTCATGAACACAGGTACAATGATTCTATAAAAAATTTAGCAAATCAAACTCAACCATATGTAATGAGGATAGTAAATCATGCCTTAATGGGGTTTATCTTAGAAATGAAAGGTTGGCTTATTAAGAAACAAATCAATATAATTCACCATTAATAAAATTTTATGAAGCATATGATCATCTAAACAGAAAAAGGACTTGACAAAAATGCAAATATACTTTCCTGATGAAAAATATTAGTAAAATAGGAAATTAATGGACACTCCTTACCTGATAACAGCTATCTATGAAAAACCTGTTGCTAATGCCATGTTAATGGTAAAGAATGAATATACCCCCCCTACACACACACACACACACACACACACACACACACACACACACAAACATAGGATCAGGAACAAAACAAGGATGTCCTCTCCCAGTACTCCTATTCAACACTGTTTGTAGATCCTAGATCTCCAAAGTGGAAAGGAAGAAGTAAAGCTATCCTTGTTCATAGATTGAAAATCTGATTAAGGGTTTAATAAAGATACAAAATGTAAGATTTACATACAAAATTTAACTGTATTGTAGCAAAAAAATAATAGGAAATTGATATTTAAAATCACATTATTATTTATAATAGCACCAAAAACACAAGAAAGATTAAGTATAAATCTGGCAAAAGATAGGTAAGACCTATAAACTTCAAATTATAAAATAATGTGGAGAAATCCTGCTAAATTGAGAAAGCAAATATAAAATCACATGGAAATGAAAAAAATCTAG